TTTCCCAACAACTCGGACAAGCGCAACTGCATCGTTTGTCTCTACGAACGCAACGTTCGGACTCAGAAGACTGCACATTGCAACACGCACCAAATGAACCTTTGTCTCGCGCCTCAAGGAGATGGCAACCGCCAAGCCAAGCCGTACGAGTGCCCAAACGTCGCGTGGTCGTGCTGGAAGAAGTACCACGAGTTCTACCATGAGCGCGACGTCTTCCAAACCAACGGCAGGCAGAACAAGAAGTCCGCCTTGTGCAAGATCAAGGCAAGCATGACCGACGCGCCGCAGAGCCGCAAACGAAAGAGTCCCCACCAAGAAGAGGCGCGGGACACGTCTGCTGCCGTGCGAAGACTTTTCTAGAAGGAAGTGAAATGGACCAATCACTCGCGTCGTGACTTGAGCCCCATTTTCAGAGCCAAGTGCATTAGTAAAACTTGAGCACCAAGCGAGTCCCTTTCTAATTGACTAGCGGCCTGTGACGGAGTCCGTGACGCAGCCGTCGTGTCCAAAAAACCGACTTATGATTAAATCATAAGCCTAATTTTGCCGTTTTCAATGACGCGCCGGGCTTTCAGGCGTTTTAATTGGCTATCTGATCTATCAAGTATATATATATATATGAACGTGTTCCGCGTTATCTTCATTATGACACAAAGACTTCGCATGCGTAGCGCTAAGCGCTTTGAATATGCATTGGAGTTGGCTCCAGCACTTGGTCGTTGGGAGTGAGCTGCGTACGGAGAGATCCATCCCGTGGTGGACCCCACTCGCCGAGTCATAGCTCGCGCGAGGTCGTACACAGGCTTCTGTACTCGGACCGTTGTCGCGACGTTGTTGGAACATTATTGTCGCGATGTTGTTGAAATGAGTTATCAACATGCAATTATATAGTGAAGATGGTGGACTTCCTAATGTGGCGCTCATGAGGTTTGGCCGGTACGTCAAGCTGAGGGCGCTTGGTCGGGGCTCGGGATTGAGTGGGGAATGAGGTAGCGGGCATACTAAGGATCGGCGCGTCGGGCATGGAGCGACTCGGCAAGCGAAGGCACCACGACGCGGCGAGCCAATTGCCGGATATGCAATCGCGTGATAGTAGCGGCGTTGATCGCGAGCGCAGCAGCGGGTAGGGGCGTCAATGTCGTGCGGAACACGCGATTGTTGCGTTCAAGCCAAAGACTGTACCAAACGCAAGCGCGCAAGATCGGCCAGAGGGCACGGATGGTCGACGTGT